TGTGTGTGTTTGTTTTATTGAAAGTGTTCCTTTACTGTGGGTAAGTACCGATTACATGGTTTTTCGACGAGTATTTGAAACAAAAAGTTTGATATTTAACAATATCAGCTCCTTGCATAGCTTTGTTTTCCTATTATTATAATGGAAAGCCGCTAGTATTGTACCTTTCTGATATCACAATTAAATGAGGTAGTTTTTTAAACTTATTGTTAGCTTACTGCTAGACTACTAGACTTTTGTTTTATTTACTAGACAACCTGCATTGTGTTATTTTTGTATGAGATAAACTAGTAAACGAGCAGGCGGATCACCCGATGGTAAGCAATCGGCGCCGCTCATGACAACAAAATGCCAGAGGCGTTACGAGGGCGTTGCCGGCATTTTGGGTATTAGGAAATTGAGGTTTGTGGGGGATTCGGGTATTGGGAAGGGGAGTAATTGGGGGCCTCCGGTAGCCTCACTCACACGATGAACGACGACGACTTACACGACGTTGGTTTTCTGTGAGGCCGTGGTATCACTTCGGTCGATCCGGCCCTTTCGTGCCGAAGCATGACACTCCCACACTGAAAACCACTTTTGTTCTATGTTATATTTTTTTTTATTATTTATTTGGGTTATATCTACATAATATAGGTACTATTGGTGTAGTAGTTATGTAAAGCGAACGAACATACTTAGATATCTACAAAACGTTCACATATAAAATATTAGTAGGTATTAGGGCTCGTACACAACACTGCGATGCGATGCGATGCAAATTCGCAACGCAGTAAATTACGACACGAATTACTGCGATGCGATTTCGTGCAACAAGGCTGACCATTCCTTCGACGACCATCAACTGCACTAAACGTATTTTAAATTGAAAACTAAGTCGTGACATGGATCTTAAAAAGAGCGCTTAGGAGATATAGGAAAAAGAAACAAAGAAGACTTTAGAAAGATAAGATGTTGAAACGCGATACGAATCAATTCGCAAGTTCTTGCGATGCGTAGAGGGAGATCGCACATTTTTGTGATGCGAGCCCTAAGGGCGGTAAGAATACCCGATACAGTATCTAGATAATCAAGAGAAACGTAGTAATAATTTAGTTATTAAAAAAATTGTCTTTTAACCTAAGAATCGGAAGCGAGACCTCTTCCTGAGGACTTAGTAGCTCTGATTAGCTAGTTCATTTAGAGCAAGTCAATTGGAGGGCTTTATACGAATACGTTTTACGTTTAACGAGATCGGAGCATTCGACCATCGGATAGATCAGCTCCAACGAACCATCCAATCAGAGCGCCGAACTTGGTCTCGTTTCTGTCCCTAAATCGAATCGAGAGAGAGTTACTAAATACTCGCTACTGAACTAAAAAACTAGAATAGTGCGTACAAGGCATAAGGCGTCAGCACCGAACGCAATAACGTTTTGATTTTGTTGAACGTAAAACAATCGTTCTAAGTTCATCATCATCAACAAAATCTACAACTTATAGGTAGTACCTAATAGTATATTACTGGCCTTTTCTCACATGTAGAAACAGTTTGTGTCGTCGTGACTCAAAGGTTAAGGCGCCCGTTTCTCACAGATGAGGGTGCGGGCTCGAAACCTACCAACGGCAAGTACCAATGTGACTTCTTCCGAGTTATATGTACCTACTTTCTAAGATTATTTAGACACCACTGATAACCGGTGAAGGAAAACATCGTGAGGAAACCTAGGCTTGTAATTTCTAATCATAAGTTTGGAATCGCTAACTCGCATTGAGAAAGCGAAGCGAAGAGGTTTTGCTCAGCAGTGGGCATTTTAAAGCTGTTGATGATGATGATGATGAAAAGAGTTCACAATTCCTTAACCCAAATTGTATTCAAAACATAATAATATTATTCAAATATAGAGGAAAATGCAAGCGATAATTGATATTAGAACACTATTTATTATCATATTTCCGGTAGACACTAAAAGTTCATTAAAATAACAAATAAAAGGAAATCTATATGAAAAACATGTAATGTTATTGTTATTCGTGTTCTTATTTATTTAATTAAGAGTAACGGTGCAGTCACGATAAAATTATTAACTACCTATATAGGTTACAGCAAGGAAGTAACACAAACAGTGGTTAAACCAGCTACACAAATACGTTTTTTTTTATCTACAATCAGCCGATACGGCTTTAATCAGATGAGATGTCGTGCTATTGGGACTTTGGAGAGTTGCACATCCTGTGACATGCCAACTCCATTTCTTTTTTCCCTCTTAATGGGTTTATATAGACGCTAGTTGCTTTCTTTTCAGTCGATATAAGCAGTTGTCTGAGTTTATGAGCTGTAAAGCCAGATGGTTAATGTGTCGCCAAAGGCGTTGTTTGTAAGACAAAGATGAACTCTTTATTTCTTTTTTAACTGTTGGAATCTGCAGATATTCGTGCACACAACTACGTGACAAAATATGTCACTCACATACATACATTAACCTCACGTACGAGGCTTCAATATGTACGTATTTGTAACAAAATACCAAGTCGGTTGAAAGTAATGAACATAAGATCGAATTATACAAGTGGCTCAATGAATGTAATAGTTTATGTGATTTTATGAATGTGAAATGTTATTTAACTGCTCACTTCTGTCAAAATAACAAACTTTTGCATGCTATGTTTTTATTCTAGCGAAACATGTTGAGCTATTGTAATAATATTAACACTAATGTATACCATGTTTTACGCAAATAAATGATTTACTTACTTACGTATTACGTACTTCAATATAGTCTTTACTATGGAACGCCAATTGCTGCAATTCTTACATACCTCTGTCGCTTCATTAACAGTCACCAGTCTAAAGAATATAGTAGTAGGTATTTTTTAGAATACATAACAGTACCTGGATTACCGAGCATGGCTCGGTGGTTGTTTGTAAACGAAATTTTCTGAAAATGAAACCTATCTAGATCGATTTAAGATCTCCGGCCACCGTTAGCGGACGGCGAGCACGAGTAGCTCGCTGCCCGACCAGTGTGGTCACTTTTGAAATCAATCTCAACATAAATGCAATTTCAATCCAATAAAATCTCAATAATTATTCAATGTCAAAACTATACAACCCCTACCGTAGTTGAAATAGCATTCAGAGTATGGAATACAAAGCCAAACTCAATACCATTTAGTTAATTAAATATCCACGCAATACGGATGCAATGGGCGCTAGTGTTGAAACTCAAGAGTACGAACAATACCAATGTCGATCGATCGGAATTGCATTCAAGAATAAACCCCCAGTACCAGACGCATAAGTACGGCGCGTCGCGTTCCATGCGCGCCTCAAAGACCTCACCACAGATGGGGCCCAATAGGACTGATGGCGATACGGAGCCGCGGAGTACTTAACGGGTTGCCGGGGCTCTGGCTCGAAGTGCAGGAGCAGGAACGGGGTGGCCTTAAGTCAGGGAGAGTCTGAAACTCCCTCTCACCGTGGGTGGGAAAAGTCACTGGAAGATTGACTCCCTCAAAAAAAGCTAGATAGATTTATCACCCCCCAAATCCCTAAAATACAAAACTTTAAGAAAATCGTTGGTGCCGTTTCAGCAACTCGATTAATTAAGTAGCCATTTTGTAGATTATTTTATCAAAAGAACACAATAAAACACAGATATAGTAAAAATATATTATTTATTTAAAATACGGTAAATCAATCGTATCACAATAATTATAGTAGTTTGTGGAGTTTACAGCCGTGTTTGACACTATTTTGGAAATATAGGAAATGATTGTATCATAACTAAAAATATAAATTAATAAAAAAATAAACATTTATTCGAAATACACTGTGTTTGACTTTGGTTCTTAAATTGGTACTCATAAAATCCATATTCCTATTGGTTTTTTAGCTCATGGAATATTCACATGTTTTAAATTCGAATGTCGCAGAGTAGGTAATTTATTTTATACAAAATCGACTATTCAATTCGACTAATACATATACTATACCGTGGTTTAGCTTAAATAATATTAAATATCTATTAATTGAAATAGGAATGCTTTCTATTTCCCGTGGTATGATCTCATAATTATATTATACAGAAACAAAACAAAACAAAATCTCAGAAAATCACTGTACCTACGTAAAATACACTATACACGGGACTTTACATCGACTTAAACAAAACCTGTCTATTGTGGTCTCGCATTGTATGATCTTTACGCACATTCAACGTCCCATTTATACTGGTTTTGCATAGCTTGATGTGATATCAGCGCACCTATTGATTTTAAAACAACGTTTCACACATTTATTAGTACTGAGAATAACAAGGCCGCGAAAGGCCTAACGAGTTGCCGGGGCTCCGGAACAGAGCCCCCAGAACCAGACCAGAGGGTACGGCGCGTCGCGTTCCATGCACGCCTCAAGAAGCCATCAGAACACCACAGATGTGGCCCAATAGGGCTGAAGCATATACAGAGCCACGGAGGACTGAACAGGTTACCGGGGCTCCGGCTCAAAGTGCAGGAGTAGGAACGGGGTGGTTTTTAGTCAGTAAGAATTTGACACTCCCTCTCGCCAAACCCAAGGCGGGAGAAGTCATTGGATGATTTTCCAACCTCAAATAAAACAAAGTACTTAGAGTATTGCAACTATCTTTGGCCAACACCATCATAAAATAAGTACTATAAACCTTCTGCAGTGGCTAATACAAAAGGAACCTTATTCGTTGAACAATTAAAATTCAAAATGTAAGGAACCAATTTATACACAAGCCTGGTAATTATTAACTAAATTTATACTTACATAATATACAAAAGTAGAGGTATTTATTTATCTTACAACAAAACAGTAATATACTGAGAAAAGCTCTACTAGTTGCGAACCATGTTCTTCCTCATGAGCAGCGTGCGCGGTCGCGGCGACGTCGCGCAGCTCACTCTCAGTGAGGAAGAACCCCACTGTGCTTCGAAACTAGTAGAGCTTTTCTCAGTATTTTCACGTGAGTAACCCGCAGTTTTTAGTTAATTTAGTATGTCTCACGATAACTATTATAAAAACAGTAATAATATTACAAACACTCACATATTATTTACATACAATAATGGTGATAGATATTGCACACCGGCTTTCGGAAAGAAACAATTTTTTGTGATACCACGATTTTTTTAGGGGCCATCTATAAATTGCGTCACACTTAAGGTGGGGGGAGGGGGTCAACCAAATGTGACTGTTTGTGACAAGTAAAATTTAATCAATTTCGGAACCAATTCAATGAGTCTCTATACGTACAAATGTGACCAACTGTGATAAGGACGGGTAGAAGGGCAAAAATCGTGTGACGTAATTTGTGAATGACTTCTAAGTCCTCGACTAGGTTTATTAGTTCATGAAAACAAGTGAACTGAAAATGTCAATGATAAAACAATATTTTTGTAGATAATAGTTCCTCTAACAAATCCATGCCCGTTTACAACAATTTCTCCTAAATTTAAGACTTTGACTGCCAACAAAAAACTGTTGAAGGTAAATCCTACGCTAACGCGGTCACCGGTGACCCCCATGGCGTTTAACGTGTTAAAGAACTAAGCTAACTCACGCTTAACATAGTTGTTGTTTTCACCAACATATAACTGACAGTACAAGGAAAGGGTTCATGTTCCTGGTACGTAATGCTAAATGATTTTTAGTTAAAAGACAGGTTCGGCGTCATGAGATAAAACGTCCATAAAAGGCCTTCGTCCAATAGGGAATTAGCAACTGTTGCACTATTGGACGGTTAATATTTGACGGCTGCTGTGATTAGAGAATAAAATCCCTTCCTACATTTGCGGCATTAGGTAAACAAAAACAAAGTTAGCCTGATTATCTAAAATGCTTTTGTAATCAGGAGGACGACTGTAAGAGTGACGAGGCGAATATTTGTTGCATAATCTGTGGTAGCGACGCGACATCCATACAAACATGGGCGTGGCCTGCTGGCAGTCTGCGCAGGAGTCTGCAACAAACACATTTGGAATTAAAAACCAGTTTATATTTTAAATTAATACTTTTGTATTCAATCATTGTTGTGTCAGATCTCATTTAGATTTAAGTTGTCTAAAGGACCTCTGCGCATATGGCTTCGGCTCCTCGTACGCCACCCAAATGACGGGAACCCCGGAACAGGACTACTCCTGTAATTGGTTAAGACATTAAGTATGTCTTAACCAATTACATATATATTTATATATAAAAGAAAAAAATATACTTATAATAGAAAAAAAAGATACTTACGTGTTAGCCTCGTCTCCCAAGCTGCCGATAAATATGACATGTGCCTGCACTCTGTGGTCTGACGTCAGTATGGTGCCGAGCTCCTCAGGTTGGATGCCGTATCTGTAAGCGGTAGACATTATGATACAATATATGTAGACATACAAGCTTTTGGCCGCAGTTATGCTCACACTATTTTACAGAAAGAATAAAATAAAACTGCTGCTGACTGCCTCATTGTCCGAGTGGTCGCAAGTGCTACTGCCAGGCAAGGGGTCTCGGGTTCGATTCCCGGGTCGGGCAAAGTATTACTGGGTTTTTCAAAAATTCCCAGTAGTAGCACGGAGTCTGGAATTGTGCCCGGTATATGGCAATAGGCTCACCCCCTATTACATGGGACTCATAACATAAATAGTGAAAAGTGGGTGTTACATTGTACAGTGGCATAATGTACACCTCTGCCTACCCCTTCGGGGATAAAAGGCGTGATGTTATGTTATGTTATGTTATGTCATTTTTACTAAACAACTACAGATTTTTCCTATCCTCAAATATAATATTTTTATAACATTATAATGAAACAAAGTAATATTATTTTATTATTATAAATATAAATGAAAATGAAACAGGCAAAATAATGTGGGGAATCCCAATTCAGACAGACGTCACAGTTGCCCACAACAGACCGGACATATAATATACACAAACAACATCCAACACCACACACCTCTTTGACATAACTGTACCAAGTAACTACAACATAGGAGCAAAAGGAATTGAGAAGTTCAGTAAATACCACCTTGGAATATACTGAGAAAAGCTCTACTAGTTTCGAACCACAGAGGGGTTCTTCCTCATGAGCAACGTGCGCGGTCGCGGCGACGTCGCGAGGCTCACTGAGTGGCTCGAAACTAGTAAAGCTTTTCTCAGTATATTCACGTGAGTAACCCGCGTTTTTACTTAATTATAGTTGTTGCTATTAAAACCGTGATGAGAACATCCTCTTTTATTTGAAGTCGGTTAAAAATACGAAGTAGTAACCTCCTAAGGTTGGCGTCAGACAGAATGAGTACGATGGCCTCGTCAGCGTCCTCCGCAGCTATGGAGGATATAGCGTGCGCGGCCGCGGGGAGAGTGTTGTCGCCTGACCAACAGAACTGGGCGTGCGCGTGCATCGTGCGGATTATCTGTAAATTGACAAATTTAAACTTAATATCCTTAGAAATAGAACTTGTTATACAAATTGACACGATTCATGAATGAATAAGTACACAAAACAAAGGTTCTTTGTTTTCGACACCGAGCATGTTAGTATTATATTTTTTGTGCCTTGTCTATGAAAAATTTGCAAAAATGTAAAGTTTTTACCATATTCATGAAGCAGTTTATTTCTATTTTGAAAAAAATCTTAGCTACAACTATCATAACAGATATCTCCAATAAAAACGTACCTGTAACCTCTCCTTCTCATTCTCCGGAGGTCGGTCGACCCTGACGAGTTCGAGTGCGTGTTCCTCCCCGGAGTGTCCGAGCATGTCGTAGCGGATGCGTGCCTCGTAGCCTTTGAGGGCCTCCGTCAGTAACACTACTGCCTCCATCGAACGTTCCAGACGACCATCATACGAATTGAACCTGGAAACCAAGTTTTTTATTTTATGTTTATTTATTTAAACTTTATTTTCAAGCAACTACGGCCCATAAATACATACTACATACAGACTAACATAATTATTTTAATACACGATTGATGTTAGTAAATAAACTTAAGCCTATGTAAATGGCAGGGATAATAATAATATATCAATATAATAATTATTATACTGGATACGGTTCCGTAACCATAAATATTTTAACAGTAAATTATTTCGAATCATCCGTTAGTAGACGGATATAAACGAATATATGTATTATCCGAAATACATATATTCGTTTATATCTGACTGTCTATATTGTCTGTACGTCCCCTCAACTATTTTCTTCACCCCTGTACAATGTATGTACATATACAGTAAAATAGTTGTTAATATTTATATGTTTACTAACCCAATTGTTTTGTCCTTTCAGCTACTAACTACTAAAAACTACCGCAATGTTATGTTCGACGGTTCATTAATCTGCCGTCACCAGCCGACACTGGCAGTATAGTTGACAACGTCGTATTTGGAGACTCGGTTGCCAAAGAGAAAAAAATAACTAGGGACGTCCATTTAGTTGATGTTCGTCGTCTAACAGTAATTAGCAAAATAAAAAAGATTTACTCTTCGTACCTGTACATACTGCCGGAGACGTCGACTACAAGTCGGAGTCGCTTGGGCTTGTCCGGCGGAGCGCCCGGCGGGGGCTCCTGCTCCGTCCTGCGGCGGTATATAGAGCGCTCGCCTGCTAGACCTGGGACAAATTACATAACGATGAAAGAAAATTACTTATTTAACTTATGGACAAGATCCCTGTTCCGACGGCAAGGAACGGCCGAGTGTCCACTGGACCAAAACTAATCACTGATAGAATACGGGCTTGCCAGAGATTGGACTAGTTATTCGCTACCATCTACAGGTCGGTGTAAATATGTAGGTATAACAATACGCCATACATTGATGGCTTAATGTGTGTACTTGGATATTTATGGGTTAATGTCTTAAGAAGTAGGTTGTAGTGTAATCTATCTCTGTTCTAGTAGGACCTTGTCATACTAACCGTTTGGGAGCGTTCGTTCAACGAAACCGCTTCCAAACCACAAGTAAAATAATGCCCTTTCTACATCTAACACCCACGTTAAAACAAACGATAGGCGGATCCATATAAATACCTTCAATAATCTTCCCGTCATCCAGTTCCCCGCTGGTCTGATGTCTGCTCCAGTGTCTTTCTTTCTTCTTCGCCTGCAGCTCAGCTAACACCCCACGGAGAGCTCCTATCTATGAAGTAAGTACAAAATAATAATATAAATTTTGATACAGACATAAGATATTCTAGAAATACCGAAATCAATCCCCTCTTTTTGAAGTTGGTTATTAATATAGATACTAAAACCTTTTTCTAAATCTAACCAACGCTTTTCTGGAAACCGTATCAAAATCGGTTGGGTCAATCGTGATCGTGAGGTAATCGCGGACAGGTAAAACTGAAACCTCCTCATTACTTTGGAGTCTTTCAAAAAGAAAATACCTGTTTTTATAATAACTATCGTGAGACATACTAAATTAACTAAAAATCTCGGGTTACTCACGTGAAAATACTAAGAAAAGCTCTACTAGTTTCGAGCTACAGAGGGCTCTTTCTCATGACCAGCGTGCACAATCGCGGCGATGTCGATATATATTTAGGTGAGTAATCCGCGAATTTAGTTAAGAAAATACCTGTTGTTGTACAGCTCTATGGAACTGTCCATAGAGCTTGGCATCGAACTCGCTCATCTTGATCTCCTTCAGTCTTTCCTCAAAGGCTTTCCGGTTCATTTCCCGCGCAGCCTTCTTTACGTGTTCCGGCACATCGTCCTTCTCAGCTTCTGAAAGCTAAAATATGCTGCTCAGTAAACAGGTCAGGCCATTAATTAAGTGGCTAATTAAACTAGTTGGTTGCGACATCTACTAACCTGGTGCACATCGTGTCCTTTATCCAGTCTGTATGGTCCCCCCTTCCCTCCTAGTCCGGCAGTATCCCGTCCCCCAGTGCCCCCCGCCCACGTGTTTCCCCCCACGTGGGGCTCGTTCTTGGGGTCTTCTTTACCATGCTTAGGGGATGATGTGTCTTTTCTGGAATTATTTAAGGTAATTTATCAGTTCAAATGTTCACCGAAGTGAGAATAGAAAATAAACCTTATTTTCTCGTTTAAAAGACTTGGATTCTCTACTGCGGTGTGGCGTGGGTATGTTTGCAAACTTACAAATTCACTTACTATATAATAATTAGATGATAATAATGGATTCTTAAGTGTATACTCGATTTTATGATGAGGAATCATCAGTTTCACACAGTAGTATTGTGTAGCAAAACTAGCTGTTGCCCGCGACTTCATCCGCGTAGAATAACGATTTCTAGCAGAATTCATCAGAAACGATTCAATGCCTAGCTGAGATTCAGATTCAGGGACATTTTTTGTGAAACGAATTTATCGTGGTTTGAAAAAATAAATAATCCCGTAGACATATTACCAGTACAGTGCCCGTTCCCGTAAGGTTTTAGTGATAAAAACTATTCTATCGACTGTCGTTGTACCGAATCTCTCTAAGATAAGTTCAGTGGTTAATAAATAGAGAAACTCGGGGCTTTAACGCATTTCTAAAGCCTATGGAGTTCTTCTCCATATGAATCTACACCTTGGAATTTTGGAATGAGCAAATAGCTTCACTTTTAAATGTATTTTGTTGACGTTCAAAAGTGCCTTCCTGGTCTTATTGAAATAAATGATTTTGACTTTGACTTCTGTGATAAAAACATCGTATGCCATTAAATGCCAATAAAGTCATTTAAGACAACAACTACAAACAGCCACCACTCACCCGCTATGCCTCTCAATAGTCATCTGTATCTTCTTAAGCGCCTCCTTAGACCGGCCGTCGAGCACGCCATCTATCGGTAGTCCACTCGAGTGAAGCACCTCTAGTAAGGTGTCAGCCATGTCTTTGCTATACCGGTCGAAGTCGAACACGTTGCCAATAGCCGTCGCTAGGTCCTCGTTTGGATATTTCTAGAAATATAAGTTACATAGTTAAGTATATTATATACTTAGTGCACGTGTAAAATATCTTGCTATCCTTAAAAGTAGATTTAATTTGCGTTGTCACACACTAAGATTTTCTCCTCTGTCGAGGGTGCGTTTACAAACATACAAGTTCACATACACATGACATCCAGACCCAGATCAACAATCACACAAACAGTTGCTTCGTGCGAGAATCTGCACGGTTTGACTCCACAGTTGGTGCGGTGGCTGGGCAACCGGCTGCCGTGCAACGTGTCGCGGGTTCGATTCCCGCACGGAACAACACTTTGTGTGATCCACAAATGTTGTTTCGGGTCTAGGTCTCATTGTGTATGTGAACTTGTATGTTTGTAAACGCACCCACGACACAGGAGAAAATCCTAATGTGGGGCAACGTTAAAATAAAAAAAATCGAACGCGCTACACGTTGCGTGGCAGTCAGTTGTCCAACCACAGCGCCAACTGTACAGTCGACGAATATCTTATATTACTTTTTTGTTTATTTTTTTGTTTTTTAGAGTTTGTTAGTTGGTTTGTTTGAACACGTTACTGGTTCGAATGGAATAATTATTTTTATATTGGATAGTGTTTTATTGAAGAAGGCTATATGCTATAAAACATCATATTAATTATGCCCAATACGATTTGAGTACCGAGTGAAAATCGCGCGGGAGTTACTAATAAATATAGCACAAAATTATGATTCCAAAAAACTTTCATTAACTTTACTTGTAAAAACAACCCTTCTTTTCAATTATACGACATACAAGTAATAACACTGAGGACAGATGTGAGTTATCAAAAAAAGAAAAATAATATCAACTATAAAGTTGGTGATTATAAAATTATCAGACACAAATTACCAACTCTCCAATTAAGTATGATAACTCGATTGCACTAAATTGAATCAAACAAGGTACCATCCATAAGGACACACGGGGCTCGTGCCTAAGGCCCCCATTCTCAGGGCGGTCCGCAGGGTTTGATTCCAGCACGGAGCAAATCTTTGTGTGGTCCACAAATTCTTGTTGCAGGACTTTCAGGTCTGGGTGTGATGTGTATGTGAACTTGTATGTTTGTAAATGCACCCACGATACAGAATAAAATCCTAGTGTGAGGTAATGTTAAAGAAAAGAAGGAATCCAAAAGGGTCCGAATAATTGTGTGCCCATTGCAAGGGACCCAACGTAGTAGAAGACGGCCCTTTATATATGTAGAATAAAATGAATTTCCGTTCGTTAGTCTCGCTAAAACTTGAGAACGGCTGAACCTATTTGGCTAATTTTGGTCTTGAAATGTTCGTGAAGTCCAGGGAAGGTTTAAAAGGTGAGAAAAACACTTTAAGCTGTAGGAAAGTTGCCGGGTCAGCTAGTGTAGAATATATAATAAGCATTAAAATAATTCCATTACAAAACTAACCTGTAAATGTTTAACAATATTGACCAGCTCCCTAGTAGAGTATGGATACGTCAACTGTCCTTGGTCAGCCTTGTCCCTGAGTATAGCGAATGCTTGAACCAACTTCTTCATCACATCTTGTGGAACATCAGGCCCGTATGAACGTAGCAACTCCATCTCAGATTCCACTGAGGGATTGTCTACAGCGTGGCAGGAGAATAGGTCACCTGGGTAGAGAATAATGAAAATATTAATCAGTAAATTGAATCCTAAAAGATTACTTAACCGTAATATTCATTTGTACACAAAAATGAACCTCTTTGAATAACAATCTTTGAGCTCTGATTAGCGTATACCACTTCTATATTACAGAATGCTTCTTCAAAGAAAGCCGGAAGAGAAACTTTTTGCAAAAACATTCCGATATAACTTAGGTTGCGCAACATCGCCGCGACCGCGCACGCTGCTCATGAGAAAGAACCCCCTCTCTGGCTCGAAACTAGTAGAGCTTTTCTCAGTATATTCACGTGAGTAACCCGCGATCTTTAGTTAATTCAGATATAACTTACCCAAAGACGCGAAGAAATCGTTGCCCAGGAACGGGAATCCGGGTCGGTTAGCGAGCACAATCATTCTAAAGTCGTCATGCACAGGAATGAAACTGGACACATCGCCGCCTGAACTTTCCAACATATGTTTGGGTACTATGCGCCGACCATCACTTAGGATCATCTCTCCATTTTCTACTAAAGTCTTTAAAATACAAGTGACATGTGTCGGAGCTTTATCCGCCTCATCGACCACTAAAACGTGGCCATATTTTACTGCCTTCACTAAAGGAGAATCTTCATAAACTACCACGCCGTCTTTTACAGTGGGTTGCACAGTTAGGGACTGCACTGTGGTGTCTCTGTGCAGCTGTATATACTCCCGAGGACGGTTCAATAGTTGTAGAAGTCTGTCAGCTATCTTATTCTTCCCTACACCTTGGTTGCCTACTAAAAGGAGATGGTTGCCAAGCAAAAAGTCTTGTAATAACCATTCGAGTAACCTCATATGCTGTGGAACGTCATAGAAAAGGATATCTGGCACTTTTGTCAAAGCATCTGTCTTATATATCTCTGTACTCGTGTTGCCTATAGTCAAAACGTTGTTTTTAACTGAACAATTGACCTTGGTTTCTGAGGGATTGTTTCCGAAAACACCGAATCGTCTAGGCGGGTCTATGCCTAGTTTTTGACTAGCGCCATCTAACGCTCGTCTGGCTAAATTAGGCAGGAATTTCGCTAAGAATGTTTGTTGTACTGTTTCGTACGCTGACTCAGTTGGGTACTTGGCCATTCTGCTGGCGATCCTCAGAAGTTGTCTGGTGGATAGAGATGATGAGAGGTTCTTTAGAGTGTTGTCCTCTGATCGCCTGAGTTCGTCTGCTAAGTTGATGATCGTGTGGAGCGGTTGTGATATGTTACCATACTGGAAGAAAGACAGACAGTATTAATAAAAATCTACTCTAAACAGCACCTAAACAAATGGCCGACTTACAAATATCGCCAGACCGTCGCGCCAATTCAACTAAAGAACAAAGTTTTATAAAATTAAAATTTGCTTACCAAACTGTTTATGATGAAGATCTCCTCAGTCTTGCTGAGGTTTCTCATCTCGTGGAAGATGAACAGGCTGAGTATCTCTGGAGACAACCACTGCTGACCACGTCCCAGTACTGGGGGTTCTGCTAGTGCTACAATCCTAAGGTAACAAACAAAAATACGTTTAGGTTAAAAAAGGTGTAATCAGAGTCGAACAAAATTATAATACGATCCCCCCGAACGGGATTTTATAACTTCGGGCATTTAATATAATCAGTAGGCCTCATGGGACTTAAATTAATTACTAGCAAAAAGTGACTGAACTCAATTAACTATTCAAGATCCAAGCGGTCACTGGCGACTGCTCTCCACTCACTGCATTATAGACCTTATTTCTAATAATTAGAGACTACTTTTGTATGAACAAATTTGGGGATTTTCGGTGTGATATCGCAAGTAATTAAGACACATTACTATCATAATTTTCTGTCCTTGAAAGTAGTGAAATAGCAACAGTAACGCAAACTCGTTGTGTTAGTGAGGTTACCGGAGGCTCAATTACATACGTCCCTTCCCAATCTAACCCCCAAAAGGCCGGCAACGCATTTGTAATAGTTCTAGTGTTTCGGGTATGCATTGGCGGCGCTGATTGCTTACCACCAGGTGATGCGTCTGCCGTTTACCGACTTATCTCATAAAAAAAACTAAGCTCACTTCTTCATTTTTCTCAAAATATAGTCATCCTTACTAATATTATAAATCGGAAAGTGAGTTTTTTTGTTTGTTCCGCTTTCATGCCGTAACTACTGAACCGATTGCTTCAAATTTTTACAGACGTAAAGTTAGAAGTCCGGATTAAATCATAGGGTACCTTTTATCCCGGAATAATGTGATATTCCCGAGGGAAAACAAAAGTATTGGTATAGATGGCGCTGTGTGTATTGGTATATGTCACACAGGCTACTTTTTATCCTTTTGTGAAGCGAGCGAAGCCGCGGGTAAAAGCTAGTCAGAAATATCTGACCTGAACGCTGGATGTATCTTCTTGACCCCATTCTTGTCGAGTTGTTGTTCAGTGACCCCCGACCGCAGCAGCTCGTCGTATCGGTCGTGTCGCAACAGTCGCGTGCCGTCGTGCAGTTGTAACTCTCTGTCGTGAACCAACCTGTTCCAGAGCAAAGTTAGATTGTTTAATTGACGTTGAGTGTTTCCAAGACTGCTTCATCAAAGAAAAATTTCGTTTTTGTCGAAATCGGAAGTGATATTTCCTAAGAGAACACCTAACTCTGCCATACACTGATTTTGTAGGAAGACATAAATTTTAAAAAATGCTCTCTATATCCATTGTAGTGTCTGTCATACTTAAGTATAAGATTATTTTAAAATAACTATCGTGAGACATACTAAATTAACCAAAAATCGCGGGTCTGCGGCAGAACCTCTCTATCGTTCGAAACTAGTAGAGCTTTAGTATTTTCACGTGAGTAACCCGCGATTTTTGTTAATTAAGTATAAGATTATTGCAGAGGGCAGACTGAAGTCACTTCATAATTATAATATACTGACATGCCGCCAAATCTAATAGCAAAAGCTTAATAAAAAGAGCAACAATGAAATTGTCCTTCCATACGAATCTACGTTTTGGAACGAGCACCTAGCTTCACCGGTGAACTATTTCTACTATGATGTTGTGAAAAGCGCCTGTATTGAAAAAAGAACGTGTATTTTTGTATATCATACAGGGTGGAATTTTGTAATGCCGCCTAAAGGGGAACCATTGGGTCAACCATTGAATTAATAAATATAAGATTTTATTGTTTTCTTTTCATTCAATGTATGAAGTTTGTTAAAGAAATTTCATAAACACACTCATTGAACTTAACGATCGACGCAATAAAAGTACAGGGTGCAACTTTTACAGATTTTAGTCGGTTCGATTACAGTATGCGGAAAGCGCGTTTTTAAAAATCTTTGAATGCCGTTTTCCTTCGTTTCAAAAATAAAGAAATGTTTTCATTGAGTAAAATTTTCTATCTAAATTATTAAGAGTAGGTACTTGCCATTCCGGTGGCATTACAAAATTCGACTCTGTATATGTAGTGTGATATAAATAAATGCTTCAACTTTAACATACCTATGTAACACTGCAAGTGTACTAGCATGGATTCTGTGCAAGCCATCCAGAACAGCCATATGTCCCTTCAATGCTGCTTCAACTAACGCTGAGTTCCTCCACACCGTGTCCCCATTATCCAACGTAGTTCGTTGCTGAACCAGGTCTCTAGCCGTCATATCCTGATACAGGACTATAGGCTCTATTGTGTACCCCAATAAGGACGATAGTTGCGAGACTAGAAGGCTTTTGCCGCAGCCTTTTGGACCTGTGGAAGTGTGTGATGATAATACATATTAACGTTTTATAATATAGGGCTTATGGTCAAATACTCAAACGCTATTCAATTTTAAGTCGCGCTTAAGTATAGTTCTGTCACCACAAATCACAATTTTAAAACTTCGTCCCGCAACACTAACATTGCAAGAGCTTGTACCGTTACTGTTTTGAACAAATATTGTTTTTGAACTTCAGTTAAATATTTGGGACTCAAAAACTATACCCGATCATAAAAAAAACCTACTTACCAATAATACAAAAATCTCCAACACTATGACTCAGCATCAATTCATTGAGCAGTTCGCTCTGGTAAGCAGTTTTAACAATGTGCCTATTTTCAACACCCTGTACCCTGCCACCGTGAGGCACGCTAAACTGAGACTTAGCACCATTCATTTCCATAGTCACTAAGGCTTGATTTCCGTTGACCTGGATGTCTTTGAGAGATATATCCCATTTAGGATTGGTGTTGATGTTCAGGTTGTGGAGAACTGCTTCCACATTCTTCACATGTTCTCTGGTGAGGAAGGAATGGTAGGGATAAAGGAGGTATACTAGTTTGTGAATTGGGATGTTTGGATTTCGTTCCTGGAAAAGTAAAGGACAATACAATTTCAGATTGACATGCATGATCAGTTTAAGTAATATATAATAATAATAATAATAATAAAAATCTTTATTTTCTCAAAAATACTCTACGGATACAAATTATATAATATGTTACAATAAAGAGAGACTGGTGTCTGTTAAAGGTATAACCTGTGTTACAGATCACCAGGCCCGGGTGGACCCCCGGAGACATTGAACAATATAAAGTATTTACTTAATTAAAGAAAAAGGACAACATTGTATGAGTGTGTGTGTGTGTGACTGTGGGTGTGTAACAATGAAGTGTGAGTGCGTGTATGTGTATGTAAGTGAGTGAGTTGATGTGTATTATGTGTGGGTATGTATAGGTAAGTGAATGAGGTGGAAGTGTTGATATGAATGTAGTGATTGATAATTCTGCATCAGTTGTAGCTTAGGAAAGTGGTCTCAGAATTTTTTCAGTCTCCTCATAGTCTAGTTTATTTATATATAGTAGCCATTAACAAAATGCACAAAAAATAACAGAGGAGTAAAATTCGACACATGTCACTTTTTTCATGAAAGCAAAAAAGAAAAAATGTGTTTATTGTAACAAATACATTTTGACACATAGTTTATGAATACTAAGACTAACATCTAAGGTTATTCTGACATTCTACTTAGGAATTCTAAACAAATTATCAATTGAGACATAATATTATTGACAATTGGTAGAACAATACTTTTAAAGTAATTAATTTTAACCAAAGTATATACGGAGTTCACAAAATGTCTACAAAAATGGGAGAAGACCAAGTTTTATCAGCTTAGAAACAAAATCACAACAAACTGAAAATAGCTCCTATATATTTATGTGACAAGGGAGATACGTATGACCTTGAACGTCCCATGGTATGCACGCGATCCCCTCATCAGTGTAACTCGTCTCCAAGGTCAAGATTGGTGTTCATGTTCATAGCTTCCAAGTTTTATGCAGTTGTCCTTTTTGAAAAGGGGGAGGTCCCCCCTAAAAGTCGGAGTGAACAAAAGCCATTTATGGAACTGGTAAATTGATTTGTATTGTATCTAACACTTTTTTAACTAAACAACAAAGCGAAAAATAATAAAAGAGATGGCTTATGGAAAAAATATGGACTACTGGACCAACCTGAACCACATTTTTATAGGCCATCAACTATTACACATCGAACGAAAAATGCACCACGTAAATCGGTTCATAAACCTCAGCGTTTTCGGTGAACATACCTACATACATACATAGAAAAAAAACAAACCGACCGAATCGAGAACCTTTCCCTTTTTTGGAAATCTGTTAAAATTAATAATATATCTTATTATGACTGCCTCGTAGGCCAAGTGGTCGCAATTGCGACTGCCGAGCAAGGAGTTTCGGGTTTGATTCCTGGGTCGGGCAAAGTATTACTAGGTTTTTTTTTAATCTCAGTAGTAGCACGGTGTCTGGAAATGCACCCGGTATATGGCAATAGGCTCACCCTTTATTACGTAGGACTCATAACATAAATAGTGAATGATAGTAATAGTGAATAAGTGGATGATACATTGTACAGTGGCAGTAAGTGCCATAATTTACACCTCTGTCTACTCCTTCGGGGATAACAACCGTGATGTTATGTTATCATATTACTTCAAGCGTACAATTTAATTTCATTGTTCTACAGAATATAATTTTGCACAGTAAACAGCAGTCGTTGGTCTGCAATTCTAATTTGTTTTCACTACAAACTTTACTCATTAAGGAGGAAAGATTAGCAAATACAATGTCGTGTTCCACAGCTATTAATACGAAGGTCGTTTGTTTTAGTTTAAAATAGAAAACTTTTAAATACAACAGTACATACAATACAAAGAAATTACTTAATTAAAAAACTTTTCAAATTTTAATCGTTAGGTACGTCAGTGGCTCGCAGAAATGGCGGCACGCGATTTTGAAAAATGTTTACATTTCCTTAATATTTTTAAATGAAAGTTGTAGAAGTCCCAGCGAACTTTGAATGGCTTCAGTATCCATGACAGTTGCCGTGCTCAAAATAAAAAATACGTCAAAAGTATTACAATCACTCAACGCGAGTCCATACAAAGTAATTTGACCAAAGAAACAACCATCATATCAATTTTTAAACAAAGTATAGCACAAACTAGACTCATGAAAGTTAATTTACAAGACTGGAGTGTTGATGAAGGCGAAGGTATCTAAGAATGGTAGCAATTGACGTTGCATAGCCTCTGCCTACCCTCATTTACAGCAGCCAAATATTCCAAGTCAAATATTGAAATCCAATAGTGTGACAGTTGATTATTCTCTATTAGACGCCATTCAGTGAGCCAAAATACGGTAGACCATGCTTCGGCACGAATGGGCCGACTCGATCAGAGTGATACCACGGCCTCACAGAAAACCGATGTGAAGCAACGCTTGCGTTATGTTTCGTCATTTGAGTGAGGTTACCAGAGCCCAATTACCCTCTCCCCAATCTCTCCAATCCCTGAATCCCCAACAATCCTCAAATTCCTAATCACCAAAAGGTCTGTAACGCACTTGTAACACCTCTGGTCTTCCAGGTGTCTATGGGCGACGCCGACTGCTTATCATCATGTGATCCGTCTGCTCTGGTAATCCGTCTGGGAGACAGGCGTGAGGTTTTTTTTTCAAATCAAATCAAATCATTTATATTTATTACAATGAGAAGTACAGGGTTCATAATATTAACTCACCAGAATTAGCGCAGCGGAGTGCAAGCTATCTACTGGGAAGTCGGGCAGCGTGACCTGCTGCACCTCAGGACTAATTAGCGCGTATGCAGCAGAGAGGAGTTGTTCCAGCTTGACACCGTCCACCCTTGGTGCTTCATCTTTTAATACGCTCAAGTGCTCCTGTAGATAAAGGTAAATAGAATTAAAGGATTTTGTTTTTCTTTATACATCATATTATATCATTTAAAATGCGTAGCTCTACCCTACCAAGGAACAATGACGTGATGTTATATTACGTGTGTACTCCAAACCAAACCACAAAAATTAAACAACAATAGTCAATGTACGGTAGAGAAGAGCCAAGTCGTCAGTTTTGTAAGAAAAAAATAATCAAAGTAAGTATCAAAAAAATAAAACAACTACTACTCTACTCGCGATAAGTTGTAACCTCGAAAAAGACATACAAAACTCCAATTTAATAAGAGGTCGACATTAATGGCCTTTATAATGCTACATTTCATTCACAAAAATATTGTGAGCATTGCTGTATTTTTAACGAAAACTTTTCACATTATTAAAAAACACGGAAACCCCTTTAAATGCCTCAAAAGTAAACAAAGACATAAAAATACCGGATTCGAAAAAAGAACAACGAAAAAATGTGTCTAACCGTAAATCACGTGAATTTTAGCAAAACGGTAACAGATTTCGCTAGGGTTGTACGTCGTGGCAAATTAATTTCTGTCTGGCAATTATCATAATGAAACGGCGGTGTCACGAAACTATGCTGTGTTTGTATAATGAGCTGGTTTGATGAATAGATTATAGTTTGAACTTAACTACGGTACGGTTGTATTTAGTGAAATACGTTGAAACTGTTTTGTTAGTCGTTTTATGTTGATTTTAGAACGTCTGGTTTTATAAATGGTCTGAAAATGGTTTGGGGTTAGTTTTGATGTTTAGAACGATTTCTTGTTTGGTATCTAAATGTAAAAATGTTAATGTAACAATAGTTAGTAGATTAATTGTAATAACGACAGTCAAGAAATAACTGTAAGTAACTAAGGGCCTTTTTCACAAACGAAACTGGTCACAATTACACCCAACAAATCTGACCACCGCCGAGTCACCAAGCGGTCACCGAAGCAGGGACTGAAAACGGTAAAGGTATAAGGGTATGGTACCGGTATAGCATTACGATACAGTTTTGATTTAGGGGTAGACTCAAAAAGGTAGAGAATAACGGTTGTGGTACCGTTAAAAAAAATATTATACCTGTATTATTTTACGGTATCGTTTATACCCTTATATTACTAGTACCTTAACCGAAATAATTTCGGTACCGAAAAAAATCTATGATAGCATCGAGCTGACAACGTCGTTCGTAATTCCTTAACTCGCGCCACCCGGGCACCGTGTTCGCTCTCGCTCTCACCTCTGCAGTGCAGCGCAAGCGGCGAGTAGCGACGCGACGTATCAGCTCAAACGAAAATCGTGTCGAGTTGTTCGCGGTTTCAGTCAGTCAGTTGTATTTGAAATAGGTATCTGAGCGAACGCATTCAAGTTATCATTATCACCATTCACTTTACCTCTATAATTATTTATTATAGATTAAGACACTATTGCTAAAGCTGAAACACTACGGCATTCGGGGGACGTCACTAAATCTGTTGAAATCATACCTTCAGGATAAGCAACTTAAAGTGCAAGTAAATAAAGTAAATTCACAGGGTGCTTGCATATCTATGGGTGTACCGCAGGGCTCGATACTAGGTCCATTCTTATTTTTAGTGTACATAAATGACTTGCCCCATTTATTTAAAAATGAACCGCAGATGGTATTATTTGCTGATGACACTTCATTAGTTTTTAAAATAATTAGACGCACAAATAATTATGACGACGTAAATAATGCCCTAATGAAAGTTCAAAATTGGTTTACATTAAATAACTTAGTACTAAACAATAAAAAGACAAAATGTATTAGATTTGGTTTGCCAAATGTTAAAAGCAACGAATGTCACATTTTATTGAATGGTGAGAAATTAGAGTTTGTAAAAGAGACAACTTTCCTGGGAATTACTGTAGACGACAAATTGCAATGGGGTCTCCCTCACATTACATCATTAGCGGGACGAATGAGCTCTGCAGCTTATGCTGTCTGGAAGATACGACAGTTACAGTCTACCGTGGGAGAGCCATGCTTCGGCACGAATGGGCCGGCTCGACCGGAGTAATACCACGGCCTCACAGAAAACCGGTGTGAAACAGCGCTTGCGCTGTGTTTCACCGAGTGAGTGAGGGTACCGGAGGCCCAACCCCCCCCCTCATAATGGCGCAGTTGATACAAGAGTTTGTACCCCAGGAGGGTACCAACTGCGTTGGAGAATCCCTCTCTGGACGTCCATTTTCAGAACTCAACTACCCTGAGCGTGGACGTCCAGGCCGCCCCACATCGTACTCTGGGGGGGGGAAAACTGCGCATCATAAAGCTGGAGGCAAGAGCAGAATAACCATGGCACCCCTTGCCACGCTGAATGTGGACTTCTGCAACATAAGGGGATTACACACCAACCTCAATGCTGTCCATCACCACCTAGAGACAGCAAAGCCGGCCTTGCTCTTTTTGACTGAGACGCAGATATCGTCTCCGTTGGACACATCCTACCTCACCTACCCTGGGTATGGACTGGAACATTCCTTCCTGCCTAGGGCCGGGGTGTGCGTGTACATCAGGGACGATATCAGCTCACGTCGCCTCAGTAATCTTGAAGGTAGGGACCTGTCCACCTTATGGCTGCGTGTAGATAATGACGACCACCCCCGTGTCTATGCGTGCCTATATAGGTCCCATAGCGGTGATAGCGAAACTGATCGACTCATGGACCACATCCAGACGGCTGTAGATCTTGTGCAGGGGCAGATATCCTCAGCGGAAGTGGTCTTGCTTGGCGATTTCAACGCCCATCACGCCGACTGGCTCTACTCCAGTAAGACTGACCACGCGGGGAGATCTGTCCACGACTTGGCTCTTGCTTCTGGCCTAACACAGCTGGTGACCGTGCTCACGCGAATCCCAGATGTGGAGGGCCAGAGGTCTTCACTGTTGGACCTTCTGCTGACCTCTTATCCGGACGGCTACAGCGTATCCGTCGAAGCCCCTCTTGGCTCATCGGACCATTGCCTTGTCTGGAGCTCTGTATCTTGGACGTGCACACCGCGACTACAAGAGGTACGCGGTCGCCGTATATGGCACTATAGGTTGGCAGACTGGGATGGGATGCGGTCCTTTTTTGCATCCTACCCTTGGAGGCGTGTTTGCTTCTTGCAGGATGATCCCAACGCCGCTGCCAATTCTGTTGCTGCTGTGGTACTGCAGGGGATGGAGCTTTTCGTCCCATCTTCTCTGGTCCCCGTCGGTGGCAGATATCGGCCCTGGTTTGATGCTTCTACCAGAAAGGCCTCACGCAGAAAGCGGGGGGTCTACCAAGCCTTGGTCAATGCAGCGGTGGCACGGGATGTAAATACCAGTGCACTAAAAAAGGAGTATAACTTTGCCTCCAAGTCCTTCAAAAGAGCTATTGCGGGTGCCAAGTCGCAGCACATCGGTAGAATTGGTGAGAGGCTGGAGCGCCTTCCTTCAGGAACTCGTTCATTCTGGTCGCTCGCCAAAGCTATCGAGGGCAATTTCTGCAGGCCGTCATTTCCAACTCTGCACATGGGTGAGGATTCGTTGGCTCATAACGCAAGGGATAAGGCTCAACTTTTGGCGAAAATCTTTGCATCCAACTCGACACTGGATGACGGTGGGCGCGAGCCTCCTGTTGTGCCTTGGTGCGGAAGGTATATGCCGGATGTGCGGTTCCACCAGCGCACGGTACGTTTGGCGCTTTTATCCCTTGACGTCCATAAGTCGAGCGGGCCTGATGGGATCCCACCCATTGTTTTGAAGATGTGCGCCCCCGAGTTGGCCCCAGTTCTCACACGTCTTTTTCGGCTCTCTTATTCCTCAGGCGTAGTTCCGACGTCCTGGAAGACAGCTTTAGTCCACCCAATCCCTAAAAAAGGTGATCGATCTAACCCGTCTAACTACAGACCGATAGCCATAACTTCCCTCTTCTCGAAAATAATGGAGTCCATTATTAACTGCCAGCTCCTGCGTTACTTAGAGGATCATCAGCTGCTCAGTGACCAGCAATACGGTTTTCGTAAAGGTCGGTCTGCTGGTGATCTCCTTGTTTACCTAACGCATCGGTGGGCACAGGCGATCGAGTCTAAGGGGGAAGCGTTGGCAGTAAGTTTAGACGTGGCGAAGGCCTTCGATCGGGTTTGGCATAGAGCGCTTCTTTCGAAGCTTCCTTCCTACGGACTTCCCGAGAAATTATGCAAATGGGTCTCCTGCTTCCTTGCAGACAGAAGCATTAAAGTCGTCGTCGACGGTGAATGCTCTGACTTGATGTCTGTAAACGCAGGTGTCCCTCAAGGCTGCGTGCTATCGCCTACATTGTCATTGACATCCTCCATGTCAATGACATGCTGCAAATCAGCGGCATTCATTGTTATGCGGATGACAGCACAGGCGATGCCTACTACACCGGCCGCGCTAACATTTCTCGTCATACGAAGAAAACGTCATAGAGAGCCGAAACAGACTCGTGTCTGAAATCGAGACCTCTTTAGAGAGAATCTCTGATTGGGGTGGACTTAATTTGGTCCAGTTTAACCCCACTAAGACACAAGTCTGCGAGTTTACCGCTAAGAAACTGCCGTTGGTCGTCTCTCCTCAGTTTCAAAGCACCCCCCTAACTGCCTCAGCCGGTATTGGAATACTTGGTGTCAACATTTCGAGCGACGTCCAGTTTTGCGGTAATTAACCCTGTAATTAACTTAATATTAAATTAGACTATTAGAATGCATTTGCGTCAGCTTGGAGTTGTCATGCTCACTCAAAGGTCTCATTGGCGGTGGCGCGTGCAGTGGATCGCTCGATTTCCTACAATATGGTTGAGTTGGGCGGTGCTGGTGCACGTGTCATGTTCGTGAACGGGTGCCGTCAACTGGGACTGGTCAGCTCCAGACTATATTATTTATTGTCTTTAAGGTTATTTCCTTTTTCGATCACTTTGACTGGATTTTGTGTGTTACATAGTTCTCGCACAATCCAAACAGCAAAACTATGT